ATTTAGATAAGGTGTCTACTTATTTTGTACCTAGTACATTTGAACCCTGTATTTTGATTATTATAGGTGATTACTTACTTTTACCCAGTACATTTGACCCCTCTGTTTTGATTGTTATATGTGACTACTTACTTTGTACCCAGTACATTTGACCCCTCTGTTGTGATTGTTCTCGGTGAATTTTGGAGGTGTCCAAGCTAACATTAGAGTGTTCCGGTTTATGACCTTTTCAACTCGGAAATCTTTGGGTGGATCTGGGTACTCTATAATCGGCAAAAAAAAACATTTCTTAATCACAGCATTCCAGATGCAAAGAATGTCCTTTGTTACATAGCTATATAAAATATCACTAAGCAATCTTCTCTAAGGAACATTTCAAAGACCTTTAGAACTAACCTGATGTCCTTGCTGATGAGGTGGAGTTTCTGCTAAATAAGGGGGATAACTCAGGGACATGTCCATTTATCCTAGGAAACAAAGGGGCACCTGCAAAATTGAGTATATATTAAATAAAACTTCTTTATCTCAAACTCGAAGAATCAGGTGATCAGAAAAAATTAAGAGATCAGAGGGTTCCAAACATAAAAATACACATTCATAAAGAAAAGTGACTGAAACTCACTTCAACATATACATGGTACATGTATTTGAGATACCAAAGTTAAACTTTAGTAGTTCTAATAGAAAATTAACAAATTGTAAATATATTCCCCATTCTTAGATTTGGAAGTCCTTACCACTTCTATTTTGTGACTGTTGAAGTTGGTAATGTGTCTCCACGATTCTCTCAGGACTCGCATCAAGATAAGCTGGAGGTTTCTGTCCCATAATTCCCTTCCATCGTCCATTTCTCTGGTCAGCAAGGCTGGCAGGACGAAGATAAGCTGCAGGGACAAGTCCTGTTCTACCGTTCACCTCAGCCAAGTAATAACCTGTGTCATCAAGTGGTCCTACAGAAAATGTCAAATGATCCAAAAATTAATTATAAATCTATTGCTTCAAGAGAACGGGTTGTTTTCAAGTATTCCTTAACTGTAGTCTACAAGTGCATTGATAAAGATGGATAAATGACATGGAAATTAAGGGAAAAACCTTTTCAAAGGTCAAAGTGAGTGAAATTGAAATTATAATAGTTTGGTAGATTAAGTGATAGTGATAACAACCTTTTACAGTGACTTTGTCCCATTCCTGCAGCCTTAGTTCCTCTGAAGGCCTATGACTTCTGGAGAAGGTCAGAGGATCATAATTGGCTACAGCTATGAATAGCTGATCAGGTGGCATGTGACCTACAGGAAGTGACTCGTTAGGTGAACCGTAACCAGGCGACATTTGACCTCCCTGAATGTGTGGCAGTCGTGGTGTGTGTGAGGATGGTGGTAGCAGTCTCTGTCGTCTCTCTGCATGGTGGTTTGATCGGCGCATGATAGGGGTCACCATTTCTGTGTCACTATGGGCAACATGGTCCTGGCTGTCACTGACAGAGGAATTTGACCTTGACCTCTGCAGGTCAATCATGGATACAGAATGTCTACTCAAATGGTTTGCTTGCTGTGAACAAGAAATTATATTTTAGATTTTTCTGATGGTTTATAGCAACACAAAATGTTTCAGGAAATCAAAACAATTCTCAAAACTAATCCTTCCTCACAAGATTGCATTTCATTTTTTGTTAATATTAAATGAGGGAATTTTACATCACAAATTTTAAAGCATGTCTGCATGGACTACTTCACTTGAGTTTTATTTCTAATATTTTGCCATAGAGTATCTCCAATCAAATCTGAGATCATCCATAAATTTCGTCTGTATGTGAATAGTAACAATTCAAGTGTCAATATATTTAAAGTATTTTTGATTGAGATGATTTCCTACCTGAGGAGATCCTTCCTCCAGTACATTGTATTCCTCAGAAGACATCCTCTGCTCCATTAAGGCCAGTTCCTGGAGGGGAGACCCCGGCCCACCGCCAATCTTCTGTTTACGTAATTCTGCTCCTAGTTTTCTTAGCAAATCATCCTATTAAATTAATGTAAAAATTATAAAGAAATATATGTGATAATCATCAGAATATTCTATCTTATAGGAAGAAATCTGCCAAAAACAAGCAAATTTACATAAGATCCTTCTCTTACCTTTTCCCTACATTTCTGCATCAGTCTGGCCAGCTTGGTTTTCATTGGAGTCACAGAAAGTAAAACTTGTTCATTCTTAGCTTCCAGATCATGGCACTGAAAATAAAATTTCAAAAATCATAATTGTGATTAGACTATAAATCCCATAACTTTGGTAGCTGCCCATTCCCTTAATATTCTTTTATAAAATAGTATTACTATCAATGAATAAGTTCAAATTACCTCTATAAATTATTGACATTTGCATGCTATACATGTACATTCAAAAAACAAGTAAATGTAACATATATAGGTCTGTATGTATTTAATCAGAAGTAGAAATTGGCGAATCATGAAAATTCTGTTGCTGAGAATTCAGCTGAAATCTCCAACTATCATTGACAAAAGCTTTGTCAATGAGAAAATGGACATTATAGCTCAGATGCTTTTGTATTTTAATAAAAAAAAATTTCAATACCATTAAAGAAAGATGACAGATGTAATTATAGAGAAACTTTAATTTTATTAACTGAAAGAATCTGAAAATTTTTAAAGTGAGGTAAAACCAAAGTAATCATCTAATTAAAGGTAAAACAGAAAGTAAAAAGATGAGATGATTAAAACAACTCCACACATTCTCCATGCAGTACTTTTTTTGCTGAATATTTAAAGATAAGCTTGGTGTCTGAGTTTGAAAAATAAGACATATGTATGCACACAATAAAAAATATCTGATATTGAAATCAATTTGTAGAGAACTACAAACAAGGCTGTGTTTTATCCGAAAAACATAATCTTATAGCACACCAAATTGTGAGGACAACATCGTAGGCACAAGTTTACCCTGGAATGAACACCCTGGACACTGGAAAAAGTTTGATGGAGCTTCAGGTTTTCACGCTCAAGGGAGACAATTTTCGATTTGTAAGTCGATATCTCATCAATCAGAGATTGAATTTTCTCTGTCTATAATTATATTTGATATTGATTTAAAAGAAAGCAAGGACCAGCAATATTTCAATGAGATTCTGAACAAATTTAAACTTTGATGTTTATATACTCCAGACTTCAAAAAATTAATTTTCACCAAACATACATCGATGCAATTATTTTTTCTTTCTAAATATTTTTCAAGCTTTAGGTGACTATACAACTGATGAAAAAAGAACTAGTGCCAAAAAATAAGGAATGATACCCT